GGGGGGGGCCGAGCCGAGAGGCGAATCCCCCGCAGCGGAGCAGCGGCGGCATTTCCCGAGCGGGGGAGCGGCCTCCGTGCCCGCTGCGCAGCCCCTTCACCTCCCGCTTCGCGTCCCCCCTGCGGACCCGGCAGCCGCTATGGAAAACGCGGGGGTACGGCTTATTTTGCGGGGTCTTGCCTGGCTCCTAAAGGCGGCTCTTTTCCAGTTCACGTGGACCAGTACCGCTTCTACTTCGACATCAGCGCGATGGAGAAGGGCGAGCAGATGCTGAAAGCCGAGTTGAGGGTCTTCAAGCTGAAGAGGACACATGTGTCTAGAAGGTCTGACGTGAAACACTTTTGCAAAGTAAGTGGGGAAACAATCTGTCAAGTAAACGCTTACTTGTGCTTTCGTTGTTAATAATACTGAAAATGAGGAGTGCGACCATTTACCACATAAACCTGCTGTATTTTTGTTTTTATTTGATTGTCGTCCTCACTTTTTCTTTGCCTCCAGCATGCCAAGAAGTAGACTCAAGGTTTTTGCTTTGGCAGTACGCTGTCCTTCGCGCACTATGGCAGTGAGCTATCCTACAGATACCTATGTCGTACCTATCTCAAACCATACCGTATTTTTCTGGGTTTTGAGACGTTTTGAAACTCGAATCGAAATTTATCTGCTTGAGCCGCTCTAAAAAATAGTAATAGCAATCAGGGATTCATAGGAAAATGGGGCAGGTGAGGACTCTGACGTTAAGCGTATCTGTTCCTTTGGCAAAAGGCAGGATTGGACTTTTTGCAAACCTGAAGACAAAGACGTGGAGGAACAGAAGACTTTCATGGTATCACATGTTCAAAACAGAAGGAAAAGGGATGGTCAGGATATTTTTCTATAGAATCAAACAGTCCAGTATCCCGCCTCTGAACACATCAAGAAGTAGATGTATGTAGCGATACTTGTTTCTCTGTTAAACCGCCCAAAAACTACTTTTTGCCTGGTTTAGAATGATGGTACAGTTTTACAGCTATGATGTAGCAGAAATGTGCATAATCGTCATCCTCCTTGTTTTGCTGGAAGAACAATTGGTTTCATTTCTTACTGTTTTGTTGTATTGCTCGCATCAAGGTGGAAGTGTATGAGCTCATGGAGAGTGGAAGTAAGCCACAAAACAGCCATCTCGTTGCATCAAGATTATTGTCCCTGTACACGGAAGGCTGGGAAGTATTCAACGTCACGCAGACAGTAAGCAGAGAATTCTGACTTAATTTTAATCATAAATCTCTTAAGGTGACAGTCGGCTCATAACTCCAGCATTGCCCTTATGCTGAGTTTTGTGGTCAATTCAAACTGAAGGACAGCAGCAGAGGGAGAAGCTTTCTCTCTGCACTTAAAAGTATACGTGGTGCTAGCTGAATTAAAGGAGAAGTGTTTATATACTGCTAGCAGCACAGGCACGATGAGAATTGAGTAACCCAAACCTAGTCGATAGGAGGGACATCAGGCCAAGTATGTCATTGTGATTAAAACACGTTAGTCCTTAGGCTGCCAGAGGAGATGGCATTGATTGAGTGCTAAGAGTAGGTTTTCATTTCTCCTTTTTATTCTGGTGGCATTACTACAGAGCAGGCGTGCAGCGTGCTTTAACGTTGTGCTTCTGGAATTTATCATGGTTGGATTGTTTTTCATTTAACTTCCTCTGTAGACTTCTTTATTTGTTAGTTTCAAGATTTGTTTTGCAGATAAACTATAACAGTATGTGAATGCCTTTCCATAGCAAACAAATAAATGTGATTTTAAACATACGGTTTCTTGGGTTTAAATCTGTACTCCCGGACAGTGTTTTTTGTTGCCTAAGCTTTATGGTCAGACTGAACAGCATGCTTGCATGATTGGTTGAGTTGCATCTTAAGTCATGATAGCCCTGCTTGAGAATGGCCTGGCCTTATCTATTAGTCTGTAATTATAACAATTAGATAAAGTAAATTTGCTTGATTGCAAGCTAATTTCTTCAAATGCCATGTTTGTTAGATTTAAATGAGTTTTAATGGTATGGAAAGTCTGGAGAGTTCATATTACTCAGTTATTAAGATTGCTATAAAAAAAAAAATCCTGGCTAAAGTCAGAGAGGATTTATTTTAATGTTAATTTTAACTCCTAGACCCATCTATTCACTAGTAAATTCTCTGAAATTAATTATCTTCCTGTAAATGTAGCTTTGTGTTTTTAAATGTTGAATACTGGTTTAAGTATTAAACTCCATTGAGTCTCAGCTATACAGTTACCTCACTTCTGTGACACTCTCATAGCTTGTTGCCTGTTCCCTTTTCCTAATAGAAACATTGCTTAATCATAATGCTGTCATAGGAATATTGAAACAGTGTTTTTTCATTTCCCTTTCGTTACCAGGTTTCCAAGTGGGTTGGAAACAGCAGCTCCAACCATGGCTTTTTGATAACTACAACACATGTATTTAACAACAGAATTGAGCACAATCTGGTTAAGTTTGCTAAGAGCCAGGGCGTTTTGCAGGAGAGTAGAAATGCTCTCCTTGTCCTCTTCACCAACAGTAACAAACGGAGGTCTTCCAGCTTTGTACCCTCTTCCACAAGTAAGTTCACACGACAGCAGCAGCTGTGTTACAATATGAACTCCCTGTTCATCTTCTGTTACCTTCTGCTGCCTCATGCATACCTCATCTCGGTATTTACTTGCAGCGTTGAACAGGTTTGAAGTTCAGCTTTGTCACTGATCAGAGTTTGATTTGGTAGTTCTTGCTAGTAGGTCACCCAGCATCTTAAGTTGCCTCTCCCCTCAGAAAAACTCTGTTTGCAGGAAATATTCATAAAGCCTAGGGGGAGTCTGGTTTATTTTGTTTGTAAAGGGGTGGGAGTTCTATTTTTTTAAATTACTATTTATGTTATTTTTGTGGTGGTGAAGTTTGCATGAAACTTGTGGATTAGGTTTAGGCTAAAAAAACTCAGTGACCTGGAAAACTTTGTGAAAATGCTGGTAAAGCAACTGTAAGTAGAGTTATTAAGTGCAGTTTTCAAGAGTGGAAGAGGTTGTTAAATAAGCAATTTAAACCTCTCTGTCCTTGGCTTGGTTTTTAAGCACCTATTTAACTTCAGTGTCTAATTAGCATTGTGACTAAAGGCTTTCATCAAAGACAACGCCCTCATCCCTTAACTTACAAAACACCGTGTCTTACCTCTCCCACTGGTCTTCCAGTAAAACCAACTAAGGCCGGATTTTAGAGCCTGATAAATGCAAAGAGCACAAGCTGGGAGGAGGGGCAAAAATGATTCTGTTTTGAAGGGTTTTCTGGTAAACGATTGCATTTGCACATTAGAAAGAAACTAGGTAGGACTTGCATCAATATTAAGAAGTAGGTGGTGAAACTGATGACAAACAAAAATGAGGCTGGCCTGTTTATTTTTGTTTTCCAAAGAAAATTTTTATAGTGAAATCCTCAATCCCAGTTTAATGAGCATCAAGCTCCGTATGGGATACTGCGCCAGGATTGAGAAATTGATATCCGTTTCTCAGTGAAGAAACTCCCTAGACCTGCCGGTTGTTTGCGGTCAGTGAATCTGCGCAGATTGTTCTTCTACCAGCCTGTGTGTCGATGGTTTTCAGCCTCTGTACATGGATCTTGAGGTCTCCGTGGACATTTATTGAGACTTCTCAGAAGATACTTTAAGAAAGCAAACTTATTGTCAGTAAGCTTCATTCTCTAGCAGAGTTCCATAAACCTGGTGGTAATTTTTTCAGATCCAAAAATTGAAAAATATTTTTAAAAATATTACTCTACAGGAACACACTCTGTTTTGCAAGCGTATGAGTAGAGTTCCTGGGAGGAGAATACTGGAGAGAGAAAAAGGCTGTGATCTCCACCCTCTGTTAGCACTGCTCGGCATGATGTGTGTTGTAGGAGTGGCCATGTTCCATAAACCTGGTGGTAATTTTTTCAGATCCAAAAATTGAAAAATATTTTTAAAAATATTACTCTACAGGAACACACTCTGTTTTGCAAGCGTATGAGTAGAGTTCCTGGGAGGAGAATACTGGAGAGAGAAAAAGGCTGTGATCTCCACCCTCTGTTAGCACTGCTCGGCATGATGTGTGTTGTAGGAGTGGCCATATAAAGACTATTAATACTATTCTGACCAGATTCAGCCCTGAAAAGGGCCTGTGGAGTTCACAGAATGTATTTAGTATATCACTGAGCTTCTCCTTTATATTTCTGCTGAGTTGGGGCCTTTCAGGCCACAAAGTGAAACACGAGATTTGGCAGTTTTTGAAATATGGCTGAAATGGCAATTGAATACACACCTCTTCCAGTACTTCCACAGTTAAATGTCATTTTAAAATCTACTCTGAAGACTTTGATGTAGATTTATGGAATAGACTTTCATGCAGACTACTGTACTTAGGAAATGAATTTCTTTTGAGAAAGATTAACACGCAACTTCCTTTCAGAACTAAAGGTGAACCCTGCCAAAAATGATGCTTCACGTGTGCCTCGTGAAACTCGGATCATCGAAAGCAGCAACGCAAGCCTGAGCAGGAGACCTCGAGCTGCTGCAACCCCTTCTGCCAAAAGCCAGGTAACAGCATGTCATCGAAGGGAACTCTACGTTGACTTCCGTGCTATTGGCTGGTCAGGTTGGATTATTTACCCAAGTGGATACAATGCCTTTTATTGCAGAGGATCCTGTCTCTTCCCCCTGGGGGAAAGTCTAAATGCAACAAACCATGCTACAGTTCAGTCCATAGTCCACACACTTAAACTGTCTCAAGATGTCAGCACGCCCTGCTGTGTGCCAGATGAATTGAAGTCCCTCAATCTTCTTTACTTTGATGACAAAGAGAATGTGGTCCTTAAAAATTACAAAGACATGGTGGCAACAAGGTGTGGTTGTCATTAGCAGGACCTTTTTTTTTGTCTGCATTTGGCATGCACCTGGATTCAGTTCCCCATTTGCCACTGAAGATACCAAAGGAGATGGCATTTCAGTTCACAGGGCAGGAGACCCAGAAACTCAGCTGTGCTTCAGGTCCTTCTCCCCTCACCATGGCTGTGTGGAAAGGCGTTTAAGGCTGGCTTTCGAAGAGCCATGAGCTTCTGGAGGGTATGCTGACCTGCATGGAGAGCTCTTTGAGTGCCTGTACACCAGAGGAAACCATTAAAAACAGGAACTTGCTATGTGAGGGAGTAGAAACACATTAAGTTGAGCGTTCAAATTAAGGCTTTGTTCTGTATATTGAGGCTCAAAATTTCCTATGATTTAACAGGCATGGTATCCTGCCTCAATCCAGGAGGCGGTGCAGGTCTCTTAGTAACACAGCCTTACTCAGTTTTGACTGCATGATCCAGTGGGGATGTACACTCCTACGCAGAGCTTTCAGGATAAGCGTTTGCCCAGAGCTAATCTCAGAGGCCTCTACCTTCTGCAGCTCATGCGTTACCTGGAAATGCACTTCTTCCCCCTGTTCTTTATGCAGCTCTACCAAATGCAGAGACCTCCTTGTAAGTCCCCTGGGACTTGCTAGCCACTCTGAGGGAACACACAGGTCAGCATTTGTCTGGGAATCAGCAAACTTGGCTTCCGACTCAGGGCCGCACCTCTGTATGATGAAGGGTCAGCCAGTCTCCCTCTTTGTAAAATCATTCTCTTCCACCATGGTCTGCTGCGGCTGTTAGGCTGTGTGGCAGCAGAGATTGCCTTTGTGTATTTATATAGTGGCCGTACAATGGGATCCTAAGATTGGGTCAGAATCCCCATAGTTTAGCAGGAAGAAAGAAGAACACTAAGCTTTGGAGGTCTGTGAGAACATGCTGGATGCTGGCCTGGTCCTGTATCTGAGGCAAGTTTGACGGAAAGTACTCACTGATTCCCTTCCATTCTTCCTTGGAGCATAGGACTTAGACTTGGAAGGGGCCCACTGAGGTCTTTCAGTCTTGCTACAATTTAGTGCAGGTAACCAGCCCATTGCAGTTCCTCAATCAACTCACTGAGTTGTAACTTAAGCCTGGTTAGGTTTCTTGTCTCCATTAATCCTTGAAGGAGGCTGACTTCCCACAAAACGTGACGTCTCCCATGGGTAGAAGCTTCATGGAGAATTTTTTTACTCCAATGAGATTTTACACAAAAAAAAAAAAAATTTACGTAAATGTTTTTCTTTCTGTAAATACTTATGTCTGTAATAAATTTATTTTATTTAAAACCCAAACACTTGGAGTATATTAACTTAATCTGTAATATAAAATGTTAATTTCCAAATAAATGTAATGTAACATTGGTCTGGTTTTTTGTGTTGTATTTGAACCTCCTTCCTAGAGTCATGAATCAAATACTTTTCCAGAAGGGAGGGTGTTCCCAATGGCTTCAGTCCTCTGACTCCATGTCAAGGAGTATAATGAATGGATAAGCAGAATAGATGTGTTTTCCTTCAGGGAGGATCCAGTAATTATTCCTGAAGTGAAACTCGCATTGAAGTTTCTTGTAATCACTTGAGTTAGGCATAGAGATTAAAGCCCTTCAGGGTTGGTCACGTGTGGTGCTCGTAACAGAGCCTACCTCACGGAGGTCCTGAACTTAACATACCTGAGACGTTTTCAGTCTTGGTGTGTAAGGCCTGATTTTCACATATGTTGCAGTATCTTGTGATGCCTTCATTAAAATTTCACTAGGTTAGAAAGCCAGGACAACAGAAACACTGTCATTCACAGATACGGATGAGAAGGCTGTGCTCCATATGTGTAGGCCAGGCATGTGCTTATGGGAACCACAACGTGGAATGGGTGGAGTGGAGGATCCTGAGCAAGACATGGATTTAGAAAGAAAGGTTGGCATGCGTGGGTCAGTGTGGAGAGAAGGGTTTTCTCCCACTTAGTTTTTTCTCTGGAAGGCTGCAGAGGCTTCACTAGGTTAGAAAACAACAACAACAGAAACACTGTCATTCACAGATACGGATGAGAAGGTCCATATGTGTAGGCCAGGCATGTGCTTATGGGAACCACAACGTGGAATGGGTGGAGTGGAGGATCCTGAGCAAGACATGGATTTAGAAAGAAAGGTTGGCATGCGTGGGTCAGTGTGGAGAGAAGGGTTTTCTCCCACTTAGTTTTTTCTCTGGAAGGCTGCAGAGGCTGTTGTAAGTACCAGCTGGGCTGTGACACACCAAGGTCGGACAGCTCCAAGTACCAGTGGAGCTGTGACACTCCAAGGTCGGAACAGCTCCAGGAGCAGGTCCTGCTGCTGGGAGCAGCAGTTAAGGCAAAGGACTTGGTGCTCAGTCCAGGCTGGAACAGGCAGTGGAGCGTTCAGGAAGCTCATTTCTGTTAGGGGCAAAAGGCTTGATTCCCCCAAGCCGGGGAAACAGGCTGCGAGAGGGCTCCTGTATTTCCATCCAGCAGAGCACGCGTTGAACTGGTGGTGCCTGAGCTATATGGCGCAGGCACAGGGAGTCCAGTACGTCTGAATGTTTCAAACCTGCTGTATGTGCCCAGCATGGCAGAACGAAAAGTGTTCGTCCTTTCCGCAGAACAGCCCATCGTCGCCACGCTGACCACACTGCCTCGTGTTCAGAATTCCCAGACAAATGGCCAAAACCTTCCTCTGCCTACGTAAAACTTCTGTGTAGGGGAGGGGGGGAAAGGGGTGTTTTGGTCTTGGTGTACGGTCACCCTGGTAAAGTGGAATATAAATCTGGTAGCAGGGTGGTGCTAACTGCTGCATCAGCCATGCCCGGCCGTTGGATTCGGTGCCATTGGCAAAGGGACCTCAGAAAGCGTCAGGGGCCATAATCTCACTTTACTGGTTTATTTCCCGGGCCGCTGTTTTGCACTTTTCACTGCAGAAGTATCTGTGGTGGTTTAAGTCTGTAGGAACCACACCTTGGGAGCGGGAAAATGTATCTACAGTGAGAGTCCAGGCAAGGTAGTTTCTGAATGGTGACTTCAGCTGTTATCTAGGTTTCTTTTAGTGGTGACCGTAAGAACTGAATCCAGAAGTTCTCCCCGCCTAATAATGCTGGGAGAAGGACTGCATTTGGAACAGACTGGCTGAGGCAGGTTGTGCGTCCAACACACTCCAGTCTTCTGTCCGTGACATGACAAATGCTTCTAGCACCATCAGCTGTGTGTCAGCTGCATCCTTCACTGCTCAACTCAGAGAATTGTCCATTTTTTCCAGGATATCTTAATTGGTTTCTTCTCGTTTCAAATGCCAGGGAAAAAAAAAGGGAAATTTTCCATTGAAAAGCAAGTATAATTAATAAATAAATGATGGGCACACTGAATATTAGCTAATGTAGTGCTACCCTACAATAGGTGAAATATGCACAGTCAAGCTAGGAGCACTCAGTAGTTTTGCACACATTAAATTATTTTTTTCTGCACCACTCAACATAGTCTTATTATGCCTCATTAAACCCTGATAATTAAAACAAAATATATTGGAATTGTTTATCCTGGACTTTGTAAGGAAATGAGGTTCATAATAATGCCAAGGGAAAAAATTTACACTACACCAGAACTTGTAATTAGAATAACAATTAAGCACAAGTATGCTCTTTCTTCTTTTTTTCTTTTTTTTTTTTTTTTTTTAGAATAAAGATATATTTTCTTGTTATTCATTAACTGAAATAAGTAAGAATTCCAAAATAAGAAATGCTACACTTTGGAGTCTTGGTTTAATCAGAACATCATATGTCTAGGTGGCAAACCAAAAAGCAACAGCTAGGGTTTTGGAGGGAATAGGGGTAGTCTTCAGCATGGACAGTCTGGAAAAGGATTGGTGACACAGATTATGTGTTGTTATACCATGTTGCATCACGACAGCAGCAAGAGAAAGCCAGGCTGGTAGCAAACCCTGTTGTGATAAACACTGTACCAAGACCAATGAGGAGCACACCTGGCCCTGAAGAGCTCTCCTTGTAAAGAGCAGAAACAAATAGGAACGACTGCACATTTTATATGTTGGGTGCCACCGAGAGCATCGACATCCCCGAGACTGCAATTCGGAGGTATACAGAGGAAGAGCCCCACGTTAAAGGACTGAGAGCCTTGCAGCACCTCTCCCCTTGCCTCCAGCTCCAAGCCTCGCTGAGGGCAGAGCTACAGCAGGCGTGGGGCTGTCTGAGCCGGCTCAGCTGGTGGCTGGAAGCGGAGTGCCCTATCAGCCATTCGTGGTGGTGCACCTGTACGGCGCTCAGCTCTGCAACTCAAGGTCTGCTGGCTTGGATCTCTGACAGCTCATGGGTCTCTGCATCCTCTTCATAGCGTGAGATCAGCGTGATTCTCCTCTGGTAAATAACACACCTTGCATTTTATACCAACAGGCACCTGGAAAGCAGGATTTCAGAGGCAGAAAGACTCAGACAATGCCTAGGAAGAGAATCCAACCCCATGGTAAAGCTATAGGGTTATGTTCAACCCCATGATAAAGAGTTTGGCCCGGGATTGGAACTGAAGAGGTCCAAGTATGTGAGGTCACACTCATTATTGCGTAAGGTGGGGAGAGCACTAAACCTGGCCCTGACAACACTGCAGTGGGATAGTAGTGGGATCTGAGTATCATGTGGGGGAGAGCTAATGGTAAAGAGCACAAATCCTCGAGATCAGACTTCCATGGTCTCCTGTTTGTAGAAATGATTGTTTTAAGGGCTTTCTGTGGTGCTCCTGTCATGAGGTATAGATGATGGAAGGTGCTTCTTGGCACAGAAGCAGGGGGAGGGATATGCTGGGGATGTCCTGGGGCGGGTTAGGCAGAAGGGATGAGCTTGGGGAAATTGGTCTGGGATGGTTTCCTGTATGAGGGGGGAGATAACTTAAATGTGCCTGCCCTGAGGAAGCTGGAGCACAGCGGTGCTGTAAGCAGATGAAAAGCCCCTGCTCTATTCTGTCTGCTCTGGAGGCTTGAAA